ACCAAAGAAAAATATCTAATTTGTCAAAGAAACCGGAATGACAAATTGGCATGCTCTTCTCTATGGCTTTTTAAACTTCAGAAGTAATTTGCTATTTTACTGTTTGTTTAAATAGTCCTTCCACAGTTGAATGATTTCATAGAACCTGAATGGCAGTAAAAAAAATTATTTATGTAAAAAGGAATAAAAAATTCTAGAGGGGCGGGATTTCAGTATTGCAGGAATCCTCTATGAACAGTCAAACTTTACTAGATTCAGGTAAATACTTCTATAGGACTGAAATAAGCTTATCACTTCCTGAATGTTTGGATTTCCAATTAACACTGTTTTAAAAGAAGATTAGGTGAGATAAATTTAACAAGGGAAGGCATTGCTGCAAAAGTGATGGGTTTACCAACTTCTCTCTTGGTGGGAAAGAGAAAGAAGAACCAAGGGCAGTAGTTATCTAAAGTTCTGGCCCAAAGGGATGGTGTATAAGGGCAATTGGAAGATGGTTCTTGTAGTTGATATGCTTGACCAATTCAAGGAAATGGGAGTCAAAAACCAACACAGTGACAAACTGATTTATAATATGGAAAAGCAAGTCCAACATTTCAATTGCTTTGAATTTGTTCAAATCCTGTTGATTATGAATCAGTTTTTGCAGTACACGGTAATGATAAATCATTCATCATTTATCAAAAACTGCTGAGTGATGTACAATGACCAAAATTGAGTAAGCTTGATGACAAAACAAAGTATACATCCCTCGCAGAGCTGGATTGAGAAATGGGATTCACCCCAAGTAGCTGGTCAAGATATTCTTGGGTTGAGTCGATCTTTATGCTTTGATAATTGTAACAAATAACTGTGTTATCACATTGCGTAAGGTAAGTTGCTTCTATTTTCCTCTTTATTGGTTTAATTCATTGGCGTGTTCTAGACTTATTTATGTCTTCATTATGCCAATTCCACAACTCTTAATTAGTTTGGTTGTCCCTTGCCTCTTCCATCAGCCTAAATGCACTGTGCATAACAACATATACTGTCTGTATTGTTCTTCTTCTGTCTGATTCCATTCTTATCCAACATACAGTTTGGAAGGCAGAATTCTCTACTCTTTGAAATGTTGGATTCGGGAATGATATCTTGTGATTTAATGCCATTCTTGTTGTAGTTCAGATAGGGCTTGCGACATTTGTTGTAGTGTTTCATGTGAAGAACATGGAAGTTAAATATGAGCATTCAAATTTAAGAATGGCTTGTCCCTCACACCCCCAACCTCCCAATTCTTTCAGGTCTTGTATCTCCATCGAAGGGTCTGGACAAGTTTGTATCTGTCTTCAAGATGTCCAGGAAAACTTTTGACTACATATGTTCACTTGTGAAGGAACACATGATGGCCAAGTCAGCAAACTTCATGTTTACTAATGGCAAGCCAATGTCATTAAGTGCTCAAGTAGCTCTAGCTTTAAGAAGGCTAAGCTCTGGTGACTCACTAATAGCAGTTGGTGATTCATTTGGGACGAACCATTCGACTGTCTCTCAAGTGACCTGGCGTTTTGTAGAGGCCATTGAAGAAAGAGGGCTTCAGCACCTCCAGTGGCCTTCCACAGAACGAGAAATGACAGATATAAGATCAAAGTTTGAAAAAATTCGAGGACTTCCAAATTGTTCTGGTGCAATTGATAGCACTCATATAACAATGTTATTATCCTCATCTGAACATGGAACTGATGTGTGGCTCGATCGCAGGGAGAATCATAGCATGATTTTGCAGGCAATTGTGGACCCCGAGATGAGGTTCCGAGACATAGTAACTGGATGGCCAGGGAAAATGAATGACTGTTCAGTGCTCCAAAGCTCAAGTATCTTCAAGCTCTGTGAGGAGGGAGAGAGATTAAACGGGAACAATATAAAGCTATCAGAAGGAACAGAATTGAGGGAATACATAGTTGGGGATTCAGGCTTTCCTTTGCTGCCTTGGCTTGTCACACCTTACCAAGGGAAAGAATTATCAGAGTCCAAAGCTGAGTTCAACAAGCGCCATTTTGCAACTCGGATGGTGGCACAAAGAGCATTGGCAAGGTTAAAAGAGGTTTGGAGGATGATACAAGGAGTGATGTGGAGACCAGACAAGCATAGGTTGCCAAGGATTATCCTCGTTTGCTGCATTCTTCATAATATTATTATTGACATGGAAGACGATGTTTTGGACGATTTGCCTCTATCTCACCACCATGACCCAGGGTACCAGCAAGAGATTTGTCAATCTGTCGACAAGACTGCTTCAGATATGAGGGATAACCTATCTCTCTACTTGGCGGGGAGACTTCTACCTTGAGTATTCCTTGCTTTTGATAATAGGTATGAGTAGCTCAGCTGTTGATTTGATTCATAGTTAGATGAGCTTGAGCCAGAATCTATGAAAAAGAAGTTTAAGATGAAAGTCAAATATTCAAATTTGATTGTAGATGGTCAATAAATTTGACAAGACGGTCCAAGGCTTGGCGCCGTCCGTGAATTTATATGATAATAGTTGAGGGAACGANAAAAGAAGTTTAAGATGAAAGTCAAATATTCAAATTTGATTGTAGATGGTCAATAAGTTTGACAAGACGGTCCAAGGCTTGGCGCCGTCCGTGAATTTATATGATAATAGTTGAGGGAAAAGGTGAGAAAGAAATTGTATCACAGGATGATACACTAAATTGCATTACAGAATTCTGTGGCCTATTTCTATGATTGCTATGAGCAATTTTAAGCATTGTAGTTTTTTTTTCTCCCACCATGTTACCAATGCTATGGATTATATGATGCCAGGGTAGAAGGACCATTTCCAACAAGCTCACAGCTTGAAAGCTTTTAGAGTTCCATGCCCATTCCATTAACATCCTGGTCACCCCTTTTCGGTGATACCACGTCATTGTTGTTATGTTGTGTTACCATTCAATAAAAACATAACAAATAAACAGATTATGTCATTTAATAACTACTAAAGTGCAGTTTATTTTACCCATGTATAAGTTTATTATTAGATAGTGACACCACATGTGACGTGATGTTACCGTTATACCTAATATTTACTCATCAGTTGGGTTCTTTTGTGGCGTTAAGCCAACATATCTTGAGATTTACCTGGGTAAAACCTGACAGAAGTTTGTAAACCCGTTGAGAAAAATCATAATGAATCCACACTTTCTCCTCTCTGTTCAAGCTCATGTGTGAACAGAAATTTGAAACCATCATTTTCCTCCAATGATTTTCGTCTGGTTCAGTGCAAGTGGTAAATTTTACAACTGCGAACTGAGTAGTCCTTTAATAGTCTTCTCTCCTTCCATGATTCGGAACCTTTAATACCACTCTCAGATATGTATGATTTTGTGGCCTCGTCATAAAGAAGTGCATCACCTATTTGTATGATTGTATGGAACTCGGTTNAGCTCACAGCTTGAAAGCTTTTAGAGTTCCATGCCCATTCCATTAACATCCTGGTCGCCCCTTTTCGGTGATACCACGTCATTGTTGTCATTGTTGTTATGTTGTGTTACCATTCAATAAAAACATAACAAATAAACAGGTTGATCTCACATATTATAATAACTACCATGTCATGTCATTTAATAACTACTAAAGTGCGGTTTATTTTACCCATGTATAAGTTTATTATTAGATAGTGACACCACATGTGACGTGATGTTACCGTTATACCTAATATTTACTCATCGGTTGGGTTCTTTTGTGGCCTTAAGCCAACATGTCTTGAGATTTAGCCGGGTAAAACCTGAGATAAGTTTGTAAACCCGTTGAGAAAAATCATAATGAATCCACACTTTCTCCTCTATGTTCAAGCTCATGTGTGAACAGAAATTTGAAACCATCATTTTCCTCCTATGATTTTCGTCTGGTTCAGTGCAAGTGGTAAACTTTTACAACTGCGAACTGAGTAGTCCTTTTGTAGTCTTCTCTCCTTCCATGATTCGGAACCTGTAATACCACTCTCAGATATGTATGATTTTGTGGCCTCGTCAAAAAGAAGTGTATCACCTATTTGTATGATTGTATGGAACTCGGGTCGCTTTGAAATGTAGATGTTATGCCCCATCAATTCAAGTTCAAACACGTACTACAGGAATTTCAATGAAACCTTCTTAAGGTTTGGGAAAGCCGACTATATCACAACCATCGAAAGAGGAGGGAAAAGAGAAAAAGGAGACTTTTATACACTGGTTAAAATAACGGAAATTAACAAGAGTCTAAGACTGTACAGATCAGTGCACAGTTCGATAAATCAACCGCAACACTGCCTCACCAGAAAGATGAGCTAATAAACCTCACTTGTTCTTTCATGAATTCTTCGTCTGCTACTCATAATCCACTGCAAAACAAAAGATATCCCATGGAATTAGTAATGTGTTTCTGGTCATCTCATGGAAAAGAATTTAGCTCAACTTCGATTTATGTAGCCTTTGATNGTTCTTTCATGAATTCTTCGTCTGCTACTCATAATCCACTGCAAAACAAAAGATATCCAATGGAATTAGTAATGTGTTTCTGGTCATCTCATGGAAAAGAATTTAGCTCAACTTCGATTTATGTAGCCTTTGATGACGCAATTCCATCTAACATATCACACGGCAAAAAAAAAAAAAAGTAAAAAAATGTAGATAATGCTTTCTGTCAATATCCTAACAGTCATTCCATACATACGTTAAACAACTCCATTTAAAATGCAATCAAATAGAGGAAGGTTTCAATTTTCATGCGAAAATTGCTAATGTTGACCCCTTTTCACAATTTTATATCCACCAGGCTGTTTGCAGGTACCATAAAAGCTGTTTATGATCATGTTGGATGCATATCCATTACCTGAGATGCATATAAAATTCTTCATTTAACAATGAATATACTGAAGCATTATTATTAATCTAAGCGACTGAATAGGACATTATGCCATAGTGGGAACCATAGTGTAAGGTATAGAAAATGGTTCTAAATGCAGCATAATAAAGATACCTTACTCATCCAGAATTTGGTGCGTCGTGGTTACAGTTGTTGATGTATAACATAAATCTTTGGGCCCATTGCTGCTTTACAGATTCTGGAACCAGTGTTTCACCGATGAAAGGGTTCCATGAATCCCCTCCAGGACTAGCAAGAACCCAATTGATTTTCACTGGGGGGCTGGTAAATGTTGACGATTGAACCTTGTCTCTAGAAATGTTTTTCTTCGATGAACTAGGATTCTGCGAAGGCAAAATAAGCATCAATTTGATAGGCCAAGAGAAACATAAGGGTCAAAGATCACTGTATCAATCTTCAGCTGAAAACCAAGTTAACTCTGGAACTCACCTTTATATGATTTCCCAATTTGAATGCCATGGACAGGGGAACATTTTCATTAAATTCTGCAAGTGCCATGGGTTGTGGTGCATTTTCTGTATGTTCTGCTAGTCCCATGGATAGTGGTGCATTTTCTGTCTGTTCTGCTAGGTGTCTTTCAACAGCTATCAGGGATCGAAACTTCCGTCCAGTCCCCGGCTCATAGTAGTACTGCACAACATGATAAAGTTTATCAAGTTTCTGACTTTCAGTTTCACCAGTTCATGAAAAATCCAACAAAGAGTAGTTGTAAGAAACACGGCTCTGAACTGTAGGTTATTTCAAGTGAGGTTCCATAGTGTGACACTCTTAAGAAATGCGTACATGGTAGCATATGAACAGCTAGTCATCTAAAATTTCTGATAATTTATACATTGATAATTGTGGGAACGGACTTTACCCTAAATTTGCATCAAAACGAACTCAGAGAAGCCAATCATACATGTGCATGAGATGTTAACCGGAAAATGAGTCCTTGCTGCTGCTTTTTGTCTCGGTAAGATTTGGTTAAGAAATTTATTGTCGCAGGGTGTTGATAGATTTCCTTGAAGAAAAATATTTATTTCGGAGATTGCTCATGCAGGTCCTATGAGTTTTTATGGAAATAGATTTGTCGGATCATACCAGTAGCAGTGATTGGAGGATTTTGGTGTCCATAGCTATAAGGAATATAGCAGAAGTTTCTGAAGTGGTTTTTGAACATACCAGTAGACCACAAGAACCTGGCATGGTGACAGGGAAGTGTATTAATTTTTAACCTACAGTTGCATGTGCCCCTTCCCATTTGCTTTTCTAACGACATAATATCCTATGGTACTATTCTAATGATTTAGAGTGCACTAAGCAACATTAGTCCTCATAGACTATGGGGCTCCTACCTGTGTCTGATTATTCTGGCTTGTGACTACTGCTTACTATTCTGCTGTATTGATTACTTGGTCCTCAAAGCTAGAAATGCATCATATGAACAATTCATTGCAGAAAACCATGGTCATCTTGCAGATGATTGTAAAAACTTAACCACTGAAAAACTGAGATTATGATTGCAATGGACCACCGGTCTGGCGTACACCTTGAGGCTCCTATTGGCCCTCTATGNAAAAACTTAACCACTGAAAAACTGAGATTATGATTGCAATGGACCACCGGTCTGGCCGTAGACCTTGAGGCTCCTATTGGCCCTCTATGACTTGGCCCAGATCATAGGATTTCATACTAATCCTATGTAAATCAGAATGGAGGCATTCAAGTCCAGGGACATCCAAATGGTACCAATTTCTTCATTTTTGAGAAATTTCATCCAAATTGTTGTCCTCTGTTCAATTGTAAGATTGTATCTCAAGAAACTAGTAAAGGAGAGAAAGAACAATGACGAACTAATTTAGTTACATGAATGCCCATACATTCCATCCATTCATACAGTCAAGTGTATTTATCCAGAAAATTTATACATCTATCACATTAGAGAAAACCATTTAAAAAACCTAGCTTTCAAAATCACACACAAAGCTGAAGTGAAAAAAATCAAGTGCCAGCAATATTTACAAACTTTGTTTGCTAAATACATTAAACAGAGAATTTGAGTAATCAGGAGAGGTCAGTACCTTGTCAGCAGAGCCACCACACCGACGGAGTACCTCCTCCACAACCCAACCATCAGGGAGATTGAAAGGCGAGGTGCGTACCATTGTCTGGCCCACCACAGCCATTTGGCAATGATTGTATACCTCCTCATCCAGCTTCAACATCTGCAGTGGCATTGACATTACTATGAGGATCAGACTCCATCTTAGGCCTTTGTTGTAAGTTGTAACTTTAGAAGGCTTTCCCTTGTAGGGGTTTCTTAATATATTTAAAATCTGACTTTCCTCTATTTCTCTGCTAATCAAAACTGATATCAGATCTGTTACATTGTTTCATTATTTAGCATATTGGAATTCTCCAGTAAATTGNAACTTTAGAAGGCTTTCCCTTGTAGGGGTTTCTTAATATATTTAAAATCTGACTTTGCTCTATTTCTCTGCTAATCAAAACTGATATCAGATCTGTTACATTGTTTCATTATTTAGCATATTGGAATTCTCCAGTAAATTGAGTCATACAATAGAATCTGCCTAGAAGTAAGTATTAACTTGGTTCCTGGAACCACAGATGCAAAAAATAGGGTAGGAGAATATATTCGAATTTTCTCAGCATTTGGCAATAATGGCCACATCTTGCAGCAAAAATGTTAGAAAAATTAAATGATCAAAATTAGACAAGCACTGTGGTGTTCGATCTTTCACAGATACCTTCTCTCAGAATATATTTTATGGATTCTAGAACAATCTATTTACATAGAAGCAGTCTCCAAGTATGCTCTCCAGGACCTGTAGGAACCTTGCTATTCTTAGAACAGGTGCCTAGTGGTCTGAAAGAATCAGAAGTTGAAGTCTTTACCTTGCCACCAGAAATGATCATCTTCCGAGAACCAATACTCTGTTAAAGGCAAAAAGAATTTGATCAAAGTTAAAGGAAACAAAGCAACTTCTTGTTACAGATTCTATTAAAAAAAAATGTATCTTACCAATCGACACCAACAGAACATGAACCCGCCACGACCGATTAACATGAATAATAAATAGATAGGAATAGAATTCAATAAAAATACGAATTACATGTGGTATTGTATAGAGTAAATAGATATTTTATTATTTTTTAATTTCTTTACATAATATTTTACGAGTTGTCTATCTTAGGATTATTATTTTTATTATCGACACAAACATTGACAAGAACACGACCCAAACATAACACGACTCTAAATGACACGACACGACACGAATTGACACCCCCTAAATTTTATCTCCTCCAGCCAGTAAGAACACTTTCCCTTGAGTTGATGCAATAGCAGATTAAACTCATTACCTTTCTACCATAACCGAACGCCCTCCTATCAGCAGAATTCTGTGAAGGGTGAAAAAAAAGAGCACAATTAAAAGATGGTGAAAGCTCAAAAGCACTAACCAACTTGTTATTCAGATTTCAGTCATAAAAAAAGTCTCTTGATCTCACCTTCAATGACCTCTGTCTTGGTCTATACACTTCTCCTTTTATATATCTCTCGATTTCTTTAAGGGATCGAAACTTGTGTCCAGTCTCTGGCTCGTGGTAATACTGTGCAACAAGAAAACATTTGCCCAGTTTGTCACTTGCAGCACACAATTGTGAAACATCTTTGAAAAAAAGAACATAATTTAACTTAAACCATTACACGAAGGGAATGACATCAGAGCCAAAAAGTTACAACTTTCTAAATGTCAAATTATAAGTTCTTAAATTACATATTTTTTAAAGTCAAGTTACAATTAATTGAGTTTATTCTTAGTCAATTGCTCTACCAACTGACCTATATCCCCATGCCAAGTGGAGTATGCATGAAGGAATCAAATGTTTCTTTTATTCTTTTCCCTGGTTCGGCCAACCCCGTGAAGTAAATCATCGCACCTTGGCATTGGATGCAAAGGGCGTGAACAAGGGCGGAGCCACCTTGGGCCTAGGGTAGGCACTTGCCCCCTCACTTTTGGATTATCTTTGATTAGGTCCCCATAATGTTATCCAATGTACTACATTTGTCCCCTTAAATTTTTGAAAAGTTTCATTAAAGTACTAGTCTTTTTTTTCCCCAATAAATTAGTGGTCTATTACCCCCTAAAATATTTTTTTTCCCTTTTTGAGTGAGTAAATTAGATGCAAATATTATGATCTATTTATATATATTGAAAAAAAGACAATAATTCCCTTCCATTTAATACACTACTTCCTATTTTTTAGAAACAATTGTATGCCTGTTGTTTGCTAATTATTATTCTTTGGTCTATGTTATAGTCAATAAAACATGATTGGATGCAAAAAGTTACATGCTATAACACAAAAACATTTTATGTTTATTTAAATATGAAATTTCTCAATGAGCTTGAGAATGATCTCAACTAAATTATTAAAAAATAATTTTACTATGGGACACTATGACTATTTGCATTGGTAGGAAATTAGTGAGAATTCTAACTCTTATAATTAAATAAATATAAAAATCTTAGGAATTTTAAAAAACATTGTATTTCACTATAAATATAATTAAAACATACTAAGAAAAAGTAATTTTGTGTCTTTTTGTTCTATTAATTTTACTATTTCAATAATTTTGTCATTCTTGTACTCAATTTTTTTTCCACTATCAACTATTGAAACTCAATCGATGCAGAAAGATGTACACAAACATACACGTATAAATACAGAAGATGGCTAAAATCTTCAGCAAAATGTGGAATTTGTAGAACCTAAGAAGAGGAGTGAATGAAGAGAAGAAAATGCGGACCTTGTCGATTCGACATCCGTCAGAACGGAGAACCTTTTGCACGCGCCACCCGTCAGGAAGCTTGAAGCGTGAGGTGGTGGTGGTGGTGGTGGTTTGGGGAACAACCGCCAGTTGGCCGTGCGCGGCGTAGTCATCGCCGTCGTAATGACCCCACCGCAGCATCGGCAGTGGCAGTGGCAGTGGCACCGGCATTGAGGGTGACAGTGCGCCATTGTCCTCCATCAAGGTTGTGATGGTGGGAATTGGGAACTGTGCACTATTCACAAGTGTATATGGTCTGCTTTGTATTGTGTGGTGGTGACATATATGTTAATTTATTACGAAGANGGGGGGGGGGGGGGGGGGGGGGGGGGGGGGGGGGGGGGGGGGGGGGGGGGGGGGGGGGGGGGGGGGGGGGGGGGGGGGGGGGGGGGGGGGGGGGGGGGGGGGGGGGGGGGGGGGGGGGGGGGGGGGGGGGGGGGGGGGGGGGGGGGGGGGGGGGGGGGGGGGGGGGGGGGGGGGGGGGGGGGGGGGGGGGGGGGGGGGGGGGGGGGGGGGGGGGGGGGGGGGGGGGGGGGGGGGGGGGGGGGGGGGGGGGGGGGGGGGGGGGGGGGGGGGGGGGGGGGGGGGGGGGGGGGGGGGGGGGGGGGGGGGGGGGGGGGGGGGGGGGGGGGGGGGGGGGGGGGGGGGGGGGGGGGGGGGGGGGGGGGGGGGGGGGGGGGGGGGGGGGGGGGGGGGGGGGGGGGGGGGGGGGGGGGGGGGGGGGGGGGGGGGGGGGGGGGGGGGGGGGGGGAAAAGGGTGGGGGGGGGGGGGGGGGGGGGGGGGGGGGGGGGGGTACTTGTTGTCCAGCTGGTGCGTTTCTCTCATGCAGGATCACTATGTAATGGGAAATATTTTTAGTCACTATCTTAGGTTGTATTTTCCATGGAAAGAAAATTTTTTCTTTCTTTACTGTTCAGGAAAGAAACTTTTTCGGGAAAGAGAATTTCCTTTATTTCTTTTTTTTTTTTTCAATTAATAGTGATTGATCATAATTCTAGCAATCAATCACTTGTAAAATAATAGAATCCAACTATTTATGTTGTGTTTCAAGCCATGGAAGAAAAAGAACAATTACACTGAAACCGCCTACCATTTGATACTCAAAAACCATAGCAAATCTACTGTTAGAAGCCTAGAAATGGAAAGTACTAGCTCAAATTGTAAGGGGACCATTCCTTGAGCAGGACAATGTGAGATTGATCAACAATATCTGTAAATCCAGGCTATCGAATACAATCTACACATACTAAGTCTAATCTATCACATACCATTCAAAAAATATGAGAGTAAACTATATACATGGCCGTTTAACTATAATGTTTGTGTCAATTTAACCTCTGAACTAAGTTTTGCGTCACTTGAACTCTTAAACTCATAAAATTTTAACAATTAAGCCCTTAAACTAATTTTTGTGTTAATTGATCCCCTAAACTCTAAAATTTTAACAATTAAGTCATTTTGTCAATAACTGTTAGGTTTTTGAATGAAATGTGTCATGTGCTCACCATATGGACAACATATTAGGTGTATTTTAAAGTGTTTGTTTGAAACATATCAGACAACGAACTTTGTTCTTTATGCCCATCAACTGAAATTCTAAATCTAAACCTCTTTCATACCCTTCAAATGAAGCAGATCATCAAGCTCTTCAAAGAGCCTACATTTATGTAATATGTTTTCTACACTAGATAGAAGAACTTATTGATCTACTGTATTTAATTGGTATGAAAGAGATTTAAGTTTACGGTTTGGGTTAATGGGTAGGAATGAAGTTCTTCGTCTAATAGGTTTCGAATGGATAGTCTAAAATGCCCCCGATCTATTGTCCATGTGGTGATAACATGAGACATTTATCCAAAAATTCTACAATTGTCAACAAAAAAGCTTAATTACTAAAAGTTTAGAGTTTAGAGGTTGTATTGACACCAAAATTAGTTCATAGACTTAATTTGACATTAAAGATCATAATTTAAGGCCCATTTATGTAATTTATTCAAGAAGATATTGGATAGCCCATTTCCCAAAAAGAAAACGAAATAACATGTCGCTTATATATCTAAAATTTGGTGATCACATTGGTTGTTGATATCAATAAAATTCAATGGCGTCGGAATGCCTATATTTCTTTCTATTCTGAAATTGATATCATACTTTATGCTCTATAAAATAATTAGCTTTATGGACAATTGCAAGGATGGAAGCACCACCCTCTTGAGGATTTCTATAAGAATGCATCTTACAATGGATAGAAACCAAATATATTAACTTTTAATTCGGATCTTGGTTTCTTGTTAAAGAATACATTTTTTGGCATTCTTTTTGTGGTGATCTACAATATTTTGATATTATATTTCATCATTATGTAGTAATGCTACATCATTTAGTCCTTAGTTTTAGTCATTTTATTTGTCAATAATATAAGAAATTTCAAATGTGTAAACATTACTCTATATTAATTGATTTATCATATTTCACCTAAAATGGTATTGCCATTCTTTTATTTCAATTACAGAAATTAAGTAATTATTTAAAGAAATTTAATGATGTAATGAGTCTTGAAACACCTATTTCATTTTTTTTTTTGAATAAAATGTAACTTTTTGTGGGTGTGATCAAGATCCTCTTTGATACACAATTTTTTTTTCTATTTTATGTCTTACTAAATCATCTGTCATATATTAGTGAGAAATTCAATTGTATACTATAACTCTCACTGAAATAAATAATAGGCAATTGTTATATGCAAATAAAACCTACATTGATGACACTCTATACACAAACTCCCGCTAGAAGAATTACAATAAAGTGTTCTAATGACCAAGCAATCGAGGTGGTACCACCCCCACCATCATTCTCTTATTATTCAAGGATAAGCCTATAGTACCTCCAAAAAAATTTGGTACAATATCGAAATTAANAATTGATCTCATGCTTTATGCTCTATAAAATAATTAGCTTTATGGACAATTGCAAGGATGGAAGCACCACCCTCTTGAGGATTTCTATAAGAATGCATCTTACAATGGATAGAAACCAAATATATTAACTTTTAATTCGGATCTTGGTTTCTTGTTAAAGAATACATTTTTGGCATTCTTTTTGTGGTGATCTACAATATTTTGATATTATATTTCATCATTATGTAGTAATGCTACATCATTTAGTCCTTAGTTTTAGTCATTTTATTTGTCAATAATATAAGAAATTTCAAATGTGTAAACATTACTCTATATTAATTGATTTATCATATTTCACCTAAAATGGTATTGCCATTCTTTTATTTCAATTACAGAAATTAAGTAATTATTTAAAGAAATTTAATGATGTAATGAGTCTTGAAACACCTATTTCATTTTTTTTTTTGAATAAAATGTAACTTTTTGTGGGTGTGATCAAGATCCTCTTTGATACACAATTTTTTTTTCTATTTTATGTCTTACTAAATCATCTGTCATATATTAGTGAGAAATTCAATTGTATACTATAACTCTCACTGAAATAAATAATAGGCAATTGTTATATGCAAATAAAACCTACATTGATGACACTCTATACACAAACTCCCGCTAGAAGAATTACAATAAAGTGTTCTAATGACCAAGCAATCGAGGTGGTACCACCCCCACCATCATTCTCTTATTATTCAAGGATAAGCCTATAGTACCTCCAAAAAAATTTGGTACAATATCGAAATTAATTAGGAATCACAAATCTTAATATGATGAATATATAGAAATAATTTAGTAAAATAAGATAACAAAATAAGAAATATTATATACATGTCAATTTTTTATTAAATAAAAAATAAAAGTGTAATATCCAAAAAATAAGTTTTTGTGGCCCACCTACACCGTTAGTACTATGTGCTCATTCATGCAAATTGAAAGCATTTATACATCCTTTCAATCCATCATTTCTCAATTTGGACCATTAAGTACGAGTTATCATAATAAAAAACATATTAAAAGGAATACAAGTTTAAAATCAAATATCTTTTTTTTAACAGTGAAATAATAGTTTGTCCTACGCTCATTGTGTGATTGGATATCTATTTATATTATCTTTTCGGAAGAGGCAAAATAATTTTAAGGAAGAATTATATTCAAATTTCTTGAGATTTGTCATTTAATCATTCAAATCTCTCTAATAGTTGAAATATTATATACGGACCCTATACAGTTTGTACACACATAACACTAAGATCCTGTCGTTAATGTCCGTTAGTAAATTACATCTAAACCCACTGAAATTTGTAGGCGTGTAATATTTAGACCCTTTAAGTTTAAAATGTTGTACTTAGACAAAAAATACTTCAATTAAAGATAAAATATCAAATAATTTAAATTTTATAACCAAAATTTATGTTATATTATGACATTTATTGACATAAAATCAAAAATAAAAATCTAATTTTTTTCTTAAAAAATTATAATTAGTATACAATTATACTATATATTGGAGTTTAATTTGATCATTTAAATAACTAAATTAAACTATTAATTACCCCAATTAAAACTAAAATATATTTGATCTGTTATTTGATTTTTTTTTAATTTTATTTTAATAGATAATATAATTGTATATTAATTATGATTATTTAAGAAAAAAAATAGATTTTTATTTTTTTTTGATTTTATTTTAATAAATGACATAATAGAACGTGAATTTTGGTTGTAAAATTCATGTTCTATTATAAATGGCTTAAACCCTACAATAGATAGTACAATTATATACTAATTACAATTTTTAAGAAAAAATTGACTTTTTATTTTTATTTTATTTTAATAAATGATACAATAGAACATGAATTTTTATTTTAAAATTTAAAATATTTGTTATTATTTTTTTGATTAGAATATTTTTAATCTAAGTATAACATTTTAAACTTAAGAGGTATAAATATTATACGTTTATAAAGGTATGCATATAATATTTTGGGATAATTGCCCTAGAGGTCCCCAAAATATGAGATTTATTTCATTTTGATTCTCAATATTTCAATTGTATCATTTTAGTCCCTTAAGTATTGAATATGTTTCTATATGGTCTTACAAGTAGACAACGTCCAGATTGCTGACATTTTTTATCATAAACTTGTCACGTAATAGCTAAATATAGACAAAAAATAATTTGATAGCTCTTAAACAAAATTTGGATAGCTTTTGATAAACAAATGTGTAATATGGGTAATTTTTGACTA